CTATGGCGGAGTCGGCCGGAGCCTCCTCCTTCTTCCCCCTGGTAGTCCTCCTGCTGGCCGGCAGCGGCGGGTCCGGGCCCCGGGGAATCCAGGGTGAGTCCCGGAGCGGGGGCCGGGATGGAGAGGGCCGGGCGAGGCCTCGAGCCGCGGCCCCGGGGCTACCGCGCGCCCCCTCCCCACGGGCACAATATGGCCGGGCGGGGGGCGCGGGAGAGTCGGGGTGACTCTCGGTCTGCCGCCCCGACCTCCGAGGCGCGGCCGCCCGGCAGCGACCGAGCTTGCGCCGGGGCCCTTGGGGACCTGAGCCTTGTTCCAGGCGGAACTGGATTCGGGGAGCTCCAGGGGTCGCGCTCCCAGCATCCCCATGTTTAATAGAAGGGAGCCCCGGCTTTCCTCCTCAGCTTTTGAAGGTCCCTGGTTCCTGCCTTTGAAGATGTCCAGGGCCGGGGGGCTTCATCCCTTACCACCAGATGCTCCCGGGGGCTTGCTTTCTCCCGCCAAGATTGTGGGGTTAGGCGATGGGGTCTTGTTTCTCTGAGGTTACCTACTGTCGAGAGCCTTTGCGCACCCTAGGATACAGGGGAAGAGGGGGTCTCTAACCCTCCTTCAGCTGCAGCGCTGGGGGTGTCTCTGTCCTCCTCCCCTGCCTCCCTGCTGTTCTGGGAACGGGAGTCACATTTCCCCTTCGCTCAGTCCCTTGCGTCCCACGGGGCAGACCCCCCACCTCCAATTTACAAGCTGCAGAAAAGCTGTTGGGAGGAAGTGGGACGAGCAGGCCCCCAAACCTTTTTGGAGCTTGGCCTTGGAATCTCTCTAACCCTATGAAACCTAGTTCCCAGCAGTTAATCTGAATGTAGGTGTATTTGCTTTCCTCCTGGCCTCCCCTACCCTGCCCCAGGGGGCCCATTCGGTTAATCACTTTGTGGATGCCTTTCGGGTGAAATCCTAGAACCTGCCTCCAACCCCAAGATTATATTTAAAGATCCCACCTCTGGACTGTCCCTCTGGTCCTTGATCAGTACTGTATTTATTTACCTTTGCCCACAATCCCTCTTCCTAGCGCTTCCCCACCCTTACACACCCCTTACCTTTCCCTGCAGCCTTCTGCTGGCCCGATCCACCCCCACCTTCCCTACTAGAGGTGGAAACCTTTCTGTGGGACACCCCACAGGGTGTGTTTATGAGGGTTTAGAGTCTGAGAAGAACGGAGGACGCCCTAAAATACTGCATTTGAGAGAGGCCCCTCAAATGTGTTTTGGCATTGGGGTTGCAGATGAAGGTTAGATTGGGCAGTTACATTGAGGTGATTATTGACCCACAGATGGATCTGGGAGAGATGATCGGGATTGTGTTCACGCTTGGTGTACAAAGCCTGCTGCTTTGACTTCTCAGCAGCCCCTAACCTTCCAGCAGTGGGAGACTAAGTGTATGTTTTGGGGTTCTCCTGACACTGAAAATAATGGTTCTCAGGTGGGTGTAGGCTTGCTTCATAAGCAGACCATCAAGAAAAGCCACATGCTACTTTGGAGTCTCAAAAACAAGTTATCTCCAGCTTTGATATTTGTTCCCAGTGGTGTAGCCTGTGCAGTGAGGTCTTTTGTTCACTGGCTAATGCTTCTGCTAGGCACCTCGTCTGTGTGTGTGTGTGTGTGTGTGTGTGTGTGTGTTGGTATCGCTGCTGTGTGGTGGGTCTCATAAACATGCTTGCTGAAGGTTCACAAACGCACCTGCCATTTGTAGTGAGACAATGGTTTTCATGCATAAGGATGTTGTGGGGACTTATTGTGGAACATGGCTTTGGAATATGTAGCACAATGTTATTTCTCTCGTAGGGTAGGAAACATAAGGTGATTCAACCAGGTTTTGTCATTTTATATGTATATGAATAAATTTTTAAACCCCTCAGGAATTTTTATCCTGCCCCTAATGTATCCAAGACTTTAAACACTCATTTCCTTACTGATTTGTCTAGGATTTGTGAGATATTTTTTTGTTGTGAGTCTAGTTAAGAATGTTTAAATGATACTCCCAACTGATTCTGAATGGGGCAGAGTTCTTTTTTTTTTTTTAAGACAGGGTCTCACTATGTTGTGCAGGCCAGCCTTGCACTTGCTTATGTAGCCCAGGCTGGCCTTGAACTCACGGTGATCCTCCTGCCTCAGCCTCGCGAGGGCTGGGATTACAGGTGTGTGCCACCATGTCTGGCAAGAGTTCATTTTTTGTAACCTTCCTAAAATGGATGTTTATTGGGGTGAGGGTGGGTGGGCATAACAGGGAGTTGTTTCTTTTTTGGTGAATGGGAAATCAGATTGTGTATCCAGCAAACATTCTTGAAGGCCTTTAAACTTCTTGGCCAGACACTACAGTTTTTTCCGGGACACATCTAGTTGCCAACAGTGAATGTTATGGAGACCACTATTGCAAAAGGCTTAAAGTAAAACGTCAGTTCTGGGAAAATAGAGTCAATGGGATAACGAGAGTTGATTTTTTTTTTTTCCCCGCTCCCCTGCATTTGCTATATATTGGTCCTTTACATAGCCCGCAGAAGTGGCAGAGCCAGGCAGCTTCATTGCCCGGTACTTGGACATGACGTGAGGGCAGTAAGGGATAGGTGTTTCTGTTAATTAATGAATTCACTGGGACTTAGTAAAAGGCCAGTGATAGAACGAGTTTCAGGCTAGAAGCAGCATCCATTTGGTAGGTATACCGTGTTTTAAGACTGAGCTGGAGAATTTTCACATTAGTATTTAAAATGTAAAATTGAGTTGGTAGCAGAACATGACATTCATTTCATAAGACAGAGCAACAAAAGAGGCATTTGAGGTTCAGATAGGAACACTCTGAATTTCTGTGAACAGACAAAAATTTTTCAAGACAAGTCTTGTAATTTTTGTTGCATGGACGTGGATCTGAAGCGCAGTGGATGTGATCTGTGGAGGAAGAGAGTCACTGATTAGTTTTGTTAAAATAGCTCCTGGAACAGATGTGATAAAGCATATTAAAGTGGCTATTCTGGTTAAAGGTTAGAGCCAGATGGAGGGAGGAGGCTGCTTTTCAGACCCAGAACTTTGCTTCCTTACAGGTTGTCCTTGAACAAGTAACTTAACCTTTCTGTTGCTGCTTTACTTATCCCCCTGAAAACTGGTATTCTGTGGCCCTCTCATTGGGACATTTGTGAGACTGACTTACTGATAGCCAGTTGGCAGGGAGGTATTTTTAGACACAGTTTCTGACTTCAATGAATAAGCAATGTTGGGTTGCTTTTTATCTTACGGGGCAGAGTAACATACTCTGTGATTGATCGACAGACTACATGTCACAGTATAATTAATTTCTTCTTGTTTGTGCTTTTTAAGGAGACTCATTTCAGATTTCCTCAAGTTAATTTCTGTTTTAGGCAGGCTTTTACTTCATAGTTCAAGCAGCATACCTGTGCTAATCAAATACAGTCTAGAGGGAGTGACCTGCTTTAGGCTTTATTGGTTTGGCAACGTTACGCAACTCTGGGTATGTTTATGGCACTATGTAAATGTTACATAAGAACATGGAGGCTGAGAGGTGGCCAGAATGGTGACTGAACACAGGAAGGTTAGGCTGAGGACTTCATCCAAAAGGACCTTGGGAATCTGCAGTCAGTACAGGACGAGGCTGCACTTTATTTTCCTCTAAAAACCTTTTTAGATGATTGTGTCTTTCAGGGGGACTGCTGTGTTATAAATACCGGTGAGCTAATTGTAACCTTGCTACCAAAATATGAATCAGTAAACGAGGAGCAGGGAGAGGAGGGGACATGCTGCTGCTTTCAGCGTGTCCTGTTGAAGCTGCTTGTTGCATTTTGGAACATGAGTTGAATTGCATTGCAGTCTGTTCTCATAATAACCCAGGAGTACAGGGTGTTGAGGTGGAATGGAATTCTCAGTTCCTTGTACTTCAGCTCCTCTGTATTTTGAAGGTTAAATTAGAATACAGATGTGGTTCTTTTGTTTTAATTTTGAAATCTTTATTGTTTGTTGCCCGGTTTTTGCTTGGAGCAGCAGCGAGCGTTAATTCTGGAATCCTGCCTCTGTATTGAGTTCATGTGTTGTTACAGTAGGAGTTGATTGAAAAGAGCCTTATCTCAACTTTCTGTGTTTAGAGCATCCTCTTCCTCTCTGTCGCTCTGGTGCTGGATGTGCTGCAGGCATGTGTAGCCTATCAGTCCCACTTGGGCTGGGAATGCCGGGACCTTTTGAGTAATCAGCTCTCAGACCCTGTGGTTTCTGGCAATATAACATGCATTTTACTTTGCCTCGTGGCCAGGCTCTCAGCTTTTGCTCTTGGTTTTTCTCTCATGCATGGTTTAACCTGCGCTTAGGCTTCAGAGGCACCATTGCTGCTCCTGTCTGTTCAATTGGTCTGCTGGCTTCTCCATCACAGATAAACGGGGCACCAAGAAGAGTACTGTCTCAGAGTGTCTTTCTTTCACTTATTGTAGAGTTGCCAGAGTTTGGTTTAGCTGCAAATTTTCTATCACAGCACTCTTACCTATTCAAGGTTTCAGAGACACCCCCTCTCAGGCAACTCTGATCATCTTTTTGGTTTTCTTCTCACCACCTAGTCTTAAGCTTGCATTTGTCTTGCTAAATATTTTGGATTTAGCATAATGAAAATAAGTAGCACATGACCTCTAATATTTGTTGTATACTGGATATGATTGAAAAGTACAGTGAATGTTTAAATTTTTAAAAAGTTGTTAAAGACACATTGCAGTTAGTTCCCTCAAAATATCCTCCCCTTCTTTGAATACTCCTCTCCCATCCTTCTTACCACTTGTGCAGCAATTCTAGAAATCCTCTTGTGTCTTTAGCTGCACTGTCATGGCTGCCTCAATGTCTTGAGTCATTACTTTTCATGGTCATTTTGATCATGAGAACAGCCAGAAGTCTCACAGTGCCAGGTCTGGTAAATAAGGTGGATGAGGACAACACACCATAATGTTTTTATGAAACTACCTTTTCACTGGATGTCACTTGGTAGCAGCATTTGCCATATTTTTTATCACTCCTGTCTTAGTCACTTTCCTTGTTGCTAAGACAAAATACCCCACACCCAAA